AAAGGTTATATCAAATCCCTAATAATGTCGACCTGCAACATAGTTCTCCGACAGACATGTTGCAGAGAATGAGCGAGGTCATCGGCCAAGAACTTTCTATGATGGCATATTTAGACAACTTTTCTTATCCAAGTTACCTCAACAGAGGAGAGCTGTGCTGATCTCGTTTCAAAACAACGCCGTAGACGAGCTGGCTGTATCTGCCAACTGCACCACAGAAATCGCGAAATTTTCTAACACCGATGTCCTTTCAGTCGGAGAAAAACCCCCAATGACCTAGAATAACATTACGGAATCATGTCATATACTAACACGTTATCTTAGATTTTGTGATGACCGTGAACGGTCACATACCTCGCGAAGAAGCACCTCACGTAGGTGATCTGTCTCCAAACTACGAGAGACGGATGAAACATGACTGGTGCTACTATCAACGGCAACCGTAGCCAGTGAACACGGGTCTGTTATACGTTATAACGAAAGTTCTCTACCTCTTCGATACTGGTGTTCTTCCCTGCAAATTCTGACGACCGGCTTCACGATTTTGTTTTAAACTTACAGGCGGCAAGCGGAAAATCAATCGCCACATATGGAAAAACGTATGTTTACCTCAATGTGGGCTTATGCAAACATAATCACCGCATATGTTTCTATGCCAATCATTGGTATAGACCTCCTACAACATCATGATCTACTCATTGATAAGTGCGAACGGAGGCTAGTAGACGGAAACACTAAATTATCTGTTTGCGTGACTTCTTTTTTCGGTCGCAGATTATCGCCAATCACAATAAGGCACAAAATATACCCATTCTATCAACCATTACTCGATAAGTACTCGGGTATATGCCATACACAATCGAAATTGCCATGTGTAATCAGCAATGTTGCACATCACATCACGACTACATGACCACCTGTATTCTCGAAAGCACGCCGACTGGCTCCAGAAAAGCTGCAGTTGGTATAAAACGAATTTAACCACATGATCCATAAAAACGTGCAGCCGGTGATTATAGGCGTTTGAATGCGAAAACCATCCCCGATCGTTACCCTTTGCCTCAAATCACGAATTGACAACTACATTGAGAGGTACAACTGTCTTTTCGAAAATCGACTTGATTAAAGCCTATAACCAAATCTCTATGGTTACTGGCGATAATCCAAAAACGGCTATCATCACTCCCTTCAGACTCTCCGAACTTTTGCGAATGCCTTTCGACCTAAATAATGCTATCCAGACATTTCAAAAGTTCATAGATGACGGTTTTCGAGAACTCAACTTCGCGCATCCGTGTGTTGATAACTGCTGATAGCAAGTCCGGGTAGAGAATCTCATTTCCAGCATCTGAACATTGTGTTCGAATGACTTCAAAAGCATGGCATTACTGTAAACATTCAGAAATACCGAATCGGAACCGACTCCTTAGATTTCCTAGGACACACCATTGATGCTCAAGGCATCCGACCCCTTAGAAGCAAAGTGGAGGCCATTCTGGATTACCCAGAGCCGACCACGACTAAGCGATTGCGCACATTTAACGGCGTTGTAAGTTTCTGAAGACGGCTCATACCAAGATGCGCGTCCCTTATGAAACCGCTAACTACCCAACTTCGTGGAAATGAGAAATCTATTAATCTGGACGACACAGTGCGAAAAGAATTCTTCACGGTTAAGGAACTTATCGCAAAGGCAACCATGATGGCACATCAGGACACTCAAACGCTCACTAGTATAGTAGTAGGTGCATCCGACTCAGCAATCAGAGTCTTACAACAGTGGATTAACTGTTACGGGAGAACTGAAGACATTTGGCTGATTAAAGCCTTTTTTATGTACTTCAATTTTACTGTGTTTTTTGGATGTGTTTGTTTTACTTAACCTTTGGACTTGTTTGTTTATATCATTCTTTTCGGACATTTTGGTTTCTTTTGTCGTTGGTTTGTTATTTGAGAGTTTTTGCTCCGGGAACCTACAAAATTGAAGGTTTGTTTTGTAATTGTTATTATTATTGTTGTTAGAACGACTTTGGTCGATTATTTGTGAATTGTGAATAAACTTGGTATCAAATTTGGAGTTTTGGTCCTCTTGCCTACTTGGGTTCGTAATTTGCGAATATCGACGGCCAGTGCTTCAATAGTTGGAACGGGAAAAAACAAATAATTGGACGTAACATTAACCACATCTAGCAACGTTTCGCATTTTCCTCAAGACGATAGCTAGACACTGAATCTATGTACAGCAATTTCGGTAGGAAACTCCTAGCTATATATGGTGCTGTACAGCATTTTCAACACTCTATCGAAGGCAGAGAACTCACCGTTTTGCTGATCATAAACCCCTTACTTTCTCTTCAAGCTCATCTTCAGACAAGTACTCACCTCGTGAGTCTCGACGATTGGACTACATTCCGTAGTTTACTTCACGTATACAACAAATTTCTGGAGGAAACAATGCATTTGCAGACGCCTTGTTTCGTATAACTTCCTTGAACAGTTTCCAAGGAATCGACCTTCTTAAACTCGCTCAGCTTCAAAAAAAGACACTGATCTTCAGCACGGGTTATCCTCGACAACTCTAAAACTACGCATTAAGCAGATGGGAACAGGTAAGGAAACCTTACTATGTAACACATCTACAGGTAGGGATCGTTCGATCGTGCCAAAACATTATCGACGCAACGTCTTCAATACGTTGCACAATCTTTCTCATCCAGGTGTTCGTGCACCCACCAAGCTTATAGCCGAACAGTTTCGCTAGCCTGGTATGAATAAAGACGTGAGGGAGTGGGCACGCTCCTGTGTCAACTGCCAGAAATCTAAGGTGAATAGACACAAAAAATGTCCCTTAGGCTCATTCAAAACTCCTGATGCTCGTTTCGATGATGTGCATCTGCATTTGATTGGACCTTTACCAGATTCAAATGGATGCTCTTATCTCTTAACCTGCGTAGACATTGAACGCATGGCAGCTCAACTCGTTTATGAAACAATACTTTGACTTTCAGGAGAATTCGTGAATCATTCGCCGTCTTCAATCAATATGGATCTCAAACCCTACAAGAGCATGCTTACAAAAGCAAAGCGTTCAGTTAAAGATGTTTCCACTCGACCGCAATAAACTGATATTTTCGTTCAACTTGACTAACGATATAGTACACACATCTTTGTACATAACTTCTTACATGGATGACCCCTCAAATCAGCATACAAAGGAGCCTTCAAAGTTCTTCAGCGCAAACTGAAGTGCTACTTAATCGATAACATCAGCATTGACTGCATCAAAGCAGCGCAATTAAAAGGAAACCTTATCCACGTCGATTTTCCTTACGTACAGCCGAAAGACACGACTCCTACACATACGATAACTCATCCGATAGCCATCACTCACGATAATACTTTAGCAGTATCTGAAAAAAGACTCGAAACAACACGTTCTGGAAGGAGAGTAAGATTGCCAAAACATTTAAACGACTATGGCACACAAGACACCAGATAACATTTTGCCTTATCTCGATTTTCCTTTCTATTATATATAATAAAAAAATTTTTATGTCCTTATACCTATACATTTATTAAAAAAAACGAAATTTTTCGCTAACATGTGTATATTTAATTTCTTTTTCTTGAAAAATCTCAAAAAATCCTTCAAAAATCGCTTTAGCGGCATCTCATGTGTTAGAGTTTATTTACCTTTCCTTAGCCCACTTTACGCGCGTACGAGTGTATTTCGACTTGCCCTACTATATTATTTTTTTCTTTTTCAGGACGGCTGGAAAAGACGATAAAAAGAACGATGGAGTTTACGGGGAACCGAAATTTTCTTTGTACTTTGTTCCCTTATTGCTACGTTGTACTTCACGGCCCCTTATAGTAAGGAAAGACGACCAGACTCTGCTGAACATAGCACGCTATCAGAAGAGTGTTTACCAACGACAAACTCGTTGGGTTTAAACTTCTAGCTGGCCACGTCGTAGGGTCATCACTACCCAATAGGGGCCGGGGTGATCTGTAGCGGTAAATAAATCCCCAAAATCAATAGCTTTGTATGTGTTCGACATTGGATGCTGACCACTTTAGTTTCAATATGCTCACCTAGCTGAAGGTGCTCGGTTATGTAGCCTCACTAGATCACGAGTGGAAACGCAGTGCTCAACTTCACCTACGATCGCTAGCCAGTTCAGATCGGTCACTTCTCGATATGTTGATAATCTATCAAATATATCTTCCGACCTCCTCGCTTGTGACTTTTGATTTCACTGGGTGGGCGCAACTTAACTATGGAAGGTGTTGACGGTAAAGTGTTGCCAAATTACAATACCTGTGGCATCCTCACGGTTTTCAAGCTTAGTTCTCATTATTGTTGTGCATACTGTAGTGAACATAGCAGTAACTTGTTGAATATCCGTCGTAAAACCCATAGGGTTCTAAACTCCTTAGCTGCAATGTCACGGCAGTAGGCCGTGGACTTAAGACCATGACTTACTGCCACCACAAGATCCTTGTGAGACCAGACCATGGATACAGACCTATCCCCTATGCCGTACATATTTACCTTTGCATACTCAATGTGCATGTAGACACTTTTTCGAGTTGATCGGCATCAGTGGGGCAAAGATTGTGCGCTTTTAATAGGTAAACCTTTACCCTTTGAAGTACAGACATATTGTTGGTGACGTTCGAATGGCGTACAGTATCCCTAACACATTTGAACATCCTCTTAAACATCTACATATGTTTAGCTCCAACACAAATCTAAGGGCTAACACCCAGAAACCGGAGACACAACATAGCAAAGCAAACTGTGGACGCAACTCCTACTCTTTAAGAGTAGTCAAATGCTGGAATTCGCAGCCGACTGAGCTAGTCCAAACGACTTCCCAAGAGTCATTTAAGAGGAAACTTGACATATTCTTAAGGACTAAGGAAGTATCCTACGATTTACCAACTTCTTTTTACTCTATTGTCGTTAATATACCTTAGTTCCTGGCTGGAGGTATCGGTGATTCACTGTAACTATGCACGGAAGCCTGTTAAGCGAAAGCTTATTCTATTCTGTCCACGACCATTCGAAGTATTTGGGTCAGCGCGTAACTTAAGCTTAGCGTCACATTGTGGCAATTACTATGATAGACGGTGTGAACAGTATGGTTGCTGAGTTATATTCGTATTTTACGGATGTTCAGATATCTTTTATAAAATATGCTATAACTGCTCTTCTGGTGACATCTACATCTTTCTACTTGTTGCGAAAAAGCCTCGGGAAAGAGCCTGTCACCGTCAACACGAAGAAGTCTAAGACACGCGTCAAGAAAAGCAAAAGTAAATCTTCTGATGGTAGGACATCGTCATCGGTATTTTCGGTTCATAATATAACCTCAATTTCAGGATGGTGATCACGCAGAAATAAAAAAATCTGTGATCCCGCCACGTAACACAACTATTATGAATACTCAAAAATCACGTATTCCTGTCTCTACAACCGTTGAAGTGTCACCAATGTTTCAAAATCTTGCTAAAGTAACAGTGTTGCATTAATAAATAATGCTGTAGGATGATCCTGAAAACGATGACAAAGGCGATAATTGGGTTACTATTAAAAAAGGGAAGAAGATCACAGATCAGCGTCCAAAATATAAGGAGACTAGTAAAGAAACTAAAACAATTATCTCAGAGGTCATCACGTCGAAAGGCGAAAATGGTGAAAACTATCTGTTTGCGAGTACAGAAAGCGGTGTGGAGCCTGTTCCTCTGAAGGTATCAAAAAAACTGCCACCTGTCCCACAAATTCCGACGTATAAGTCAGCCGTTTTCGAATCTGATGGCGATTGGCACGAAGTTCGATCCTCAAAAAAATGGCGCAAGACGGTGAAACAATAAGATCACCATACATACAAAGTGTACATATCCCCTGTGATTTCTAAAAGTGCCTACTTTGCTGTTATCCTACTTTTGTTTTTCCATTCCATTATCCTTATACCAACCATATTACTCAAGTTCTATACTTACTAGTGTACTGTATCACTTGGGATTTAACAACTGTCAGATACTAGAACCAAGATTTGGTCGTCAGCTTCATCTTTCTTTTTGTCTCAATGTCCATTATTTTGTAATATGATTCTTGTGTTCAGTATTATCACTTTTCAAACTGTAGTGTTCTTGTCAGGTAAATAATAAATAATTTGACCCAGTTTGATCAATAAAATATGTCATTGTTACCAATCTTGTTGAATATGATGTGTACTTGTGGTCCATCTAGTATACAAATATCTCATGTATTGGGTATTGAGACCGATTGCTGTCTTAATTTGAAACTCAGTCCAAACTGTAAGTACAGTTTGAGAAAACCGAAATGTTGCTTCGCCCCGTCGTTATATTTGCTCCTCCGAGTCAGTATCCGTCGTCAAATTTTATATAGATTCACAACATTTTATTAATCACTTTGATGGCGCATTTAGAATATTGATAGCCTTTATGAGATTCTGGGGAACCTTTGAATCTAGTTATACAGGAACACTTATGCAAACTGCCTTGTAAAGCCAAAGTAATTTCCACTCATTTTTATCAGTAATATTTTTTTATAAAATAGCCAAGTTTGGTTCCCGTCCTACATCTTTTTGTCCTAGTCTATAATGTAAAGAAGCTGAAAACTAAGGTAGTAAGTCTGTCACTGACTGTAAATTGATCGGTATCTGTGTCCTTGGCAATGTATTTACGTGATCAGTTTTCCTTCGAGATCATGATTACTTTTTAGTCATCCGGAGGAAGATGTTCGTGTGAGACTTCTAGGAAAGTCAAAATTGCAATTGTTATTACCCTGTGTGCCTTTTTCACGTTTGGGCTTGTCTAATACTGACGTTCTGTTTAAAACTATCTCAGTTATGTTGCATTGAAAGTCTTGGTGATCTATTCTAGCTATGCAAAATCATCTTAGGACATTGAAGACGTATTTGTGGATGTTTATATTGGTTTTAAGTTTATGAATATTACTTTAAATCGAGACCGCCATATGGAATAAGCTTCTATGGTTGAGACATGGCTTACAGAAGTGTCTCATTTTACGTTCCGAAAAGACAGGTTGCATCGCCTTCGAATGACAATGATTGTAGCTTGGCATACAAGTGAAATCAAACTAAAGTTAGTCAATAACGTTATGAACTTCCGATGACTGAGATACGTTTTGCCAGTGTTCATATGCCACGTACCCTGATATGTTGTCTCCAGTCGACCTGAATAGCAAGTTAATGTAAATCCTCCAATTCTTTATAAGGTTGAAAAAGCTATAGGAAAGCTGAAGCATGGGAGAGCAGCAGGTCCTGACGGGCTTACCCCTGATATTTTTAAGGATGGCGGTCGAGTACCAGCAGCGAAATTGACTGAGGTCTTAGGTAGAATCTGGGAACTAGACGTAAATCCATCTGACTGGCCTCAATCACTGATTGTGCCAGTCTATAAGAAAGGACAAAAGTCCTCTTGTGACAATCACAGAGGAATCAGTTTGACTAATATAGTATCTAAAATATTAGCTTTAATAATACTTGAACGCCTAACCAAAACTCGTGAAGAGCAGACTAGAGAAAACCAGGCTGGTTTTTGACCTGGACGTGGTTGTATAGACCAGACATTCACTCTACGTCAGGTCCTAGAATATAAACACATTCAGACGTCCCAAAATCGTAGTATTCCTCGACCTTATAAGGCGGCATTTGACTCTGTTGATCGTGAGGTTCTGTGGTAGTGTTTTTCACTGAAAGGAGTACCAAAGAAGTACATTAACCTTATAAAGGCTATCTACTCGAACACAACTGGTCGTGTTAGAGCTTATGGTGAACTGTCATCAGAATTGATTACCTCAAGTGGTGTTCGTCAGAGCTGTCCACTGCTACTCACTGCCTTCTCGTGGCGGGGGTGTTGTTTACGAAAGTGAGAGGACGAAAAGCGAATGTCCTGCGCTTTAACCGGGTTGGTGGACACGGAGGGTCCACCTAGGGGAGTTAGAAAACACTGATTCCAAACCAATGGTGTACTTGGACTCCAGGATCCTGATGGAACGGACGGCGAATGGACCTGCTGTTGGTCAACGGCTACCATGGGACTGCATCTCCTCACGATGCTCCACTGCCTTGTGGATCAGACCTTTAGGTCAAAGGCTCGGGATGTGGCCCCCTAAGAAAACCACCTGCTTCGGTTTTGGCACCCAGGCAGTATCACAGCCCACACACAAATGACATGAAATGACGCACTTCACTAACTACACTGCTCTCGTTCGTAATAGAAGAAAGACAGTTTACATTGTTATTATTACCATTATTATTATTATTATTACCTTTATTATTATTATTATTATTATTATTATTTACTACGTCGCTTTTTCACTCCCGTTATTCCCAAATTGTGTATCCTTCTTTTCCAACTTATGCAGTAGCTCGCCCATGGTGGAAAATCTGTCCTATCTAAACGATCTCCAGTCACTGTCTGGTTGAAAGTGAATGCTTCCAACGATTACGAATACTGAAGCAGTCTTTCTGAAACCACGTACGCCGTTCAAGCTGGCTTCCTTCAACGTTCGCACACTAATGCAGATCGGACAACAGATGGGGCTTGCTATGTCTTTAGAAAGTCTTAATGTTGATGTTTGCTGTCTATCGGAGACCCGTATTCAAAACTCTAGTGAAGTACTACAAATTCGCTCTCCATCTGTCGCTTCGAAAAGCTTGTTTCACGTGCGTTTATCCGGGGACTCTGTGGCATCTTCGTCTGGTCTTGCTGGCGTTGGTGTCGCACTAAGCGCTAGGGTTGAGGCAGCACTAATCGATCGGATCCTCATTAACAGTCGGTTATTTGTTAGATTAGAAAGTTCCATCAAAGTGAGAAGAAATCGGCGTGAGAAACGGTGTCTTTTCGTTATCTCCGCCTATGCCCCGACAGATTGCAGCCCGGATGCAATCAAGGATGAGTTCTACCATCAGTTAACTGTTCTTCTCCAGAAAGCGCGTTCGACAGATATGGTAGTATTAGCCGGAGACTTGAATGCTCAGGTCACGCTTCTAGGCACAGAAGAGAGTCGTTTAGGTGACCAATGGGGACTTGTTGGTCGCAGGACAGATAACGGGGACCGTTTGCTGCAACTGTGCACAGACCACAACCTGTTTCTGGCCAGCACTAACTTCCGGCACAGTCATCGCCGGTGTGCCACCTGGCGTTCTCCCTCTGCATCTCAAGCCTGGACTCAAATTGATCACATCGCGATCAGCTACCGCTGGCGTGGTTGTGTACAAGACTGCCGCTCCTTTTGGAGTACCTATCTGGAGTCTGATCATGCCCTGGTCTGCGCCAATCTCACCTTATTTTTCAGTGGCCGAAGGATTGACCACCACCACAACGGATCGATGTTAGTAAACTGGCTGCAACTTCTGTTGCAAGAAAGTATCGAGCGGAACTAGCTTCTAGGCTAGCTACCATCCCACTGAAAAGTATAGATGAGCATTGGTTGCATCTTCATGACGCCATGAAAATGGCGAGTAAGGCCGCTTGCGGCTTCGCGAAACGTCCCGCTTACAAGCACTGGGTTTCTTCTGGCTCCTTACAACTGATGGAAGCCCGTCGGTCTACTCCGGGTGACCGTGAGTTTGACCACAAACAAAGGCTGTTACGTAATGAAATCGGGCAAAGCTTGCGTAAGGACCGGGAAGCCTGGTGGTCGAAGCGTGCTAATGAGATGGAAGAAGCAGCTGCATCTGGTAACTGCCGGAAGCTCTTCCAACTCATCCGAGTCACTGGCAGCAAGAAGTCTGGTGTGAGTGAAACAATCTACGTTGATGAAGGGATGCCAATCACTAACATCTCTCGACGTCTTGGACGATGGGCGGAATTTTTCGAAGGGCAGTTCAACTGGCCTGCCGGTCCGGCAACATCAACCAGTTTGTCCTGCCCCCCATGGCCGGTGACGACTGATCCACCAAACGAGGCGGAATTCCGTAAGGAACTCCAACTCTTGAAGCGTTACAAATCACCTGGCCCAGATGACTTACGTCCGGCTCTTTTTAAAGATGGTAGTGACCTTCTGACTAAGGAATTGACTGTGCTGTTTGCAAAGGTTTGGGAGCAAAAAAGTGTCCCAACATCATGGAATGAGTCGATAGTCGTCCCTATCTTTAAAAAGGGTTCACGTTGTTCCTGCAATAACTATCGGGGGATAAGTCTACTTTCGATTGCGTCCAAACTATTGGCTTCTGTCATTCTTCGTAGGTTGTTTAAAACCCGAGAACGTTTGACTCGCGAGGAGCAGGCTGGTTTTCGTTCTGGTCGAGGATGCATTGATCACATCTTCACCCTCCGCCAAATGTTAGAACACCGTCATACTTATCGCAGGCCAACAATCGTAGTGTTTCTTGATATCAGGGCGGCCTTCGATTCGTTGGACAGGACTGTTCTCTGGGATTGTCTATTGAAGAAGGGTGTGCCTGAGAAGTTCATTAACATCTTAAAGGCCCTGTATACGAACACCTAAGGCAGAGTGAGGGCATACAACCACCTTTCTCCCTTGTTCCATTCGAGCAGTGGGGTTAGGCAGGGTTGCCCGATCTCCCCATTCCTCTTCAACTTTGCCATCGACGACATCCTAGAAACAGCTCTGATGGATGTAAGTAATGGCGGTGTGGATATGTTGCCTGGAGAACGACTTCTCGACCTTGAGTATGCGGATGATATTGTCTTACTGTGCGATAATGCCCAAGGCATGCAATCAGCACTTAATCAGTTGGCAATCAGTGTCCGCAGGTACGGCATGTGCTTTGCACCCTCCAAGTGCAAAGTACTCCTACAAGACTGGCAGGATTCTCATCCTGTACTCACCCTGGATGGTGAGCAGAGTGAAGTAGTTGAGAAGTTCGTGTATCTAGGTAGCTATATAAGTGCTGGTGGTGGCGTGAGTGATGAGATTGATGCACGTATAAGGAAAGCCAGATCGGCTTATGCCAATCTGGGCCATCTTTGGCGCCTTCGTGATGTTAGTCTGGCTGTAAAAGGTCGGATCTACAACGCGTCGGTGAGAGCAGTTTTGCTCTATGCTTGTGAAACCTGGCCTCTCCGAGTTGAGGATGTTAGACGTCTCTCTGTGTTCGATCATCGTTGTCTCCGAAGGATTGTTGACATTCAGTGGCAACACCATGTTAGTAATGCAGAGGTTCGGCATCGTGTGTCCGGACGCAGAGACGATAATTCAATTGGTGTCACCATCTTGAAACACCGACTTCGGTGGCTTGGAAATATTTTACGAATGTCGTCCCAGAGACTTCCACGTCGTGCATTATTTGCCGACTCTGGGACTGGTTGGAAAAAGCGGAGAGGAGGTCAGTGTATGACATGGTGTCGTGGCATGAAAGAAAGCTGCAAAGGGCTAGCTTCTGTTGGTCCTTCACGACTCCCAGTCTGGGGTCCGAGAGATGGTGCAACACAGTGGCTAGAGACGTTATCAGATATGGCTCAGAATAGAAGCCAGTGGCGATCCTGATGCAACCTTCTTTTACTTTCTACATAAAGAGTGGTTCTAACTTTATTAACTGAAAGAGTCTTCTGGTTGTACATTTCAGTCCGCCTTATCTTTTCATCCCTTCTCTTCCTACTTTCAACTCCGCCTGTAGCTCTTCTAGAGTTACTGCCGGTCTCAAACCCGGGTAAAGGAGGAGGGTTGGGCATGGGGTTAGCGACCACATCCCTTAGAAAAGCTAACTCGCTAAAAAACGCTAACCAGAAAAAATAATTCAAACCATTTAAACTCTGCCCTCCGAGTTCAAGGAATAATTATGACGTCTCATGATGAAAGCCGAAATTCTTCGGAAGTCACGAGACCGATGCACCTTCTAACAACCAGAGCAACACTCTTTATAGGTACATGGAACGTCCGGACAATGTGGGAGACAGGAAAGACCAGTCAAATAGCAATGGAAATGAGAAGATACAACTTGGCAGTACTCGGAATCAGCGAAACCCATTGGACACAAACTGGACAACAAAGGCTAGGTACAGGAGAGATGCTGCTGTACTCCGGTCACGAAGGGGAAAACGCTCCACACACTCAGGGAGTTGCTCTAATTCTGTCCAAAGAAGCACGAAATGCACTTGTGGGATGGGAATCACATGGACCCAGGATAATCAAAGCATCATATAGAACAAAGAAGCAAGGGATCACAATGAACGTTATCCAATGTTATGCACCCACCAATGATAGCAACGACGATGTTAAAGATCAGTTCTATGAAAGGCTGCAATCAATTATAGAGAAGTGCTCACGAAAGGACCTCACAATCCTGATGGGAGATCTAAATGCTAAAGTTGGAGTGGACAACACAGGATATGAAGATGTAATTGGATGACATGGATTAGGAGAGAGAAAT